CCTTTTTTTTGGGGGGGGGCTGCCCCCCTTCTTCCCCCTCCCCTCGGAGGGGGGGCTCTTTCTGGGGGAGGGAGGCCCCCCGCTGCGCCCTGTGCAAAGCCCCCCTACCCTACTCCACCCCTGCCCAGCGCCATGCCCAGCCTGGAGGGGGTGGCCAACGTGGCCCTGCGGGTGCCCAGCCTGGTCCTCCTCGACTTGCTCTACCGCTGGGACGTGCAGACCTTCGCCGACCTCCTCCAGCCCCGCGCCCGCGAGGCCGCCCTGCCCCGACGCCACCTCTGGCACCTCTACTATGCAGGTGAGCCGCAGCCCCTCCCCGGGGGGACAGCTCCAGGGCGGGGGATTCCTGGAGATTGGGGAAGGCGGGGTTTGGGGAGGGTCGGTGTTCCCTCTAAGCTGAGTGAGTGTGAGCCAGCTCACAGTTTTGTAGCCTCCGGCTCCCACATGTCTTGTCTTAGCTCAGGAAAGAGGGCTCCAGAGCAGTGTTCCCTCTGAGCTGAGTTAATGTGAGCTAGCTCACAGTTTTTTAGCCTCCGGCTCCCACATGTCTTGTCTTAGCTCAGGAAGGAGGGCTCCAGAGCAGTGTTCCCTCTAAGCTGAGTTAATGTGAGCTAGCTCACAGTTTTGTAGCCTCTGGCTCACACATTTTTGTCTTCGCTCAAGAAGGGTGGCTCCAGAGCAGAGTTCCCCCTAAGCTGAGTGAGTGTGAGCTAGCTCACAGGTTTTTTTAGCCTCCAACTCACACATTTTTGTCTTAGATCAGGAAGGAGGGCTCCAGAGCAAACTGATTCATGCAGCAGCCAAATCGCTCGCTCACAGCTTTAATGCCCAGCAGCTCACAAAGTAGGATTTTTGCTCACAAGACTCCACAGCTTGGAGGGAGCATTGCCTGCAACTAGCCAGCTGTTTGTTTGTTTAATTCTGTTTTTATTCTGCCCTCCCCGCAAGCCGTCTCAGGACCGGTTGCAGCGTAGAATAGACCGAGCAGAGAATAGAACAGATGAAAAGCCCTGAAACAACTATTCTAAATTCCAACTCGGTCACGAGATGGCATTTCCAGAACTTATGGCATCCACAAGGATAGATGCACGTATCGTCCGGGTTCCCAGAATGGTAGCATAGTCACTGTCGGAACTCAAGTAATCATTACTCGGTACAGGCTGCATGTTTTTGTCCCCCCCCCCACACACTCCTTTCTCCCAATGGGGAACAAAAGCGGCTTACATCGTTCTCCTCTCCTGTTTTATCCTCACAACAACCCTGTGAGGTAGGGTAGGCTGAGAGTGTGTGGCTGGCCCCCAAGGTCACCCAACAGGCTTCCTTGGGAGAGTGGGAATTCGAACCTGGGTCCCCAGATCCCAGTACAACTCTCTAGCCACTACACCATGTTGAGAACTAGATGCTTGTAGGTTTCAATCTGAAAGTCCTGGGATGCTAAATTCTTTGCCCGGCGTCCTTTTCCGCTCTATGTGTCACTATTGCAACAAGGCAGAACACGGGTGTGACTGTTCTGAAATACTGGCAGGTGCCAAAGTGGAGGGTAGAGAGTTACATTTGAATTATTATTATTATTGTATGTCAGTGTGTGTAGTATAGCCAGGAGATTCTAAGATTGTCTGGCAGCCGGAAGTTCTAGCTCTTTTAATGTTATGCACCACCAGGTGGCGAACTAGGCTTGATATTTTTAAGGGAAGAGAGGTTTTAGGGGTGATTTGCCATTGCCTGCGTCGTGACCTTGGTATTCCTTGGTGTTCTCCCATCCAAATACTAGCCAGGGGCCCTGCTGAGCTTCTGAGATGTGATGAGATTGGGCCAGGCCAGGGGCCATCCACGTCAGGGATACATCTTAAAGCAAAATATGGAAACAACCCTTCGAACTGCCGCACTTGGGTTTCCTGCCTTCTTCCTCTCTTAGGTCACCTGGTGTGCGTGGTGGTCCTCCTCCTCCCGGTCCGGTCCCTCGTGAAGCTGTACCTCTACATCCTGACGATGCTGCTGCTGTATGTGGGCCATCAGACAGCCAGGTGAGGACAGGGCATCTTGTTTTTAATCCCCACGCTTTCTTGCCAACGGCACGTGCGCCGGAGCTTAGAATCATGGAATGTTAGAGTCGGAAGGGACCTTGCAGCTCATCTGGTCCAGCCCCCTGCACTCTGCCGGAGCAGAGCCGAAAGAGAGCCCTACAACATACCCGAAAGATGGTCGTCCAGCCTCCGCTTGGAAACGTCCAGCAAAGGAGCATCCACCACCTCCCGAGGCAGACTGTTCCACTGCTCAACCACTCTTACAGTTAGGAAGTTTCTCCTGATATTTAGCCGGTATCAGCTCCCTTGTAATTTCCACCCATTAGATCTAGTCTTGCAATTCGGAGCGAGAGAGAATAGACCTGCTCCATCTTCTACAGGGCAGCCCTTCAAATATTTGAAGACTGCAATCATGTCCCCTCTAAGCCTTCTCTCTCCCAGGCTAAACAGACCCAACTCTGTCAGCCACTGTGTGTCTATATGGGCCATTAGCCTGATCCAACATTGGCTTCTCTTATGTTCTTATTTCTTGGGCAAGGGATGCTCTGTCTTCTTGGTGCTTTGGGGGGGGG